GGCGACTGCTGTTCTTCTGAATAAATAAAAAACATGTAACCCAGTTGTTTACACTTATATTAAAAATTTTTGACCGAAGCAAACCCGGAGTAGGACTAGAGAGAGATAATTATGATTTAGATTTTTATTTCTGTGACTGTAAATGACCCACAGGAGACACGACATTAACAGCAGTCATCATTTCATTCCTTGKSTTTAGCAGGTCTGACCTGCTAAAAATGACAGATTTTCTTTTCTGGATCTCTGACAGCAGGACTTCAATCTCTGAACTCGTGAAGTTCTTTTTACTTTGCGATGTCATTTATGAATGGACACTTCCTGGTATGTGGGGCAGGAAACGTAGCCTTATATGGTGTTTTTGGGGTGGTAATTATGCTAATCTCCTCTTCTCGTGCGTGAGCACCTGAAACGCATTCATCAATTAACACAGCTCATTTACACACTTTTCCTGAAGATAGAAGAGTTTGTTGAATCTGATGTGGCATGTTCGTACGAACCCTTCATACGAACAAAAGTAAGAGGAATTTAGGATAAGAATACGGACATGTTCTTGCATGAGGTCCATTGTCTTCAACTCACATGAAACCACCACAAAGAACACTGAATTTACATGAATGTGGTTTTTGCGTTTATCCATTCACGTTATATTGTAGTTCACACTACTGACTTGGGGTTTAACTGCGACAGATTTGTGCACAAATAACGTAGGATGATGGGTCTCCAATTTTTTTTTACGTTGTAGACTCCAGCAAGAAGAAACTCCGTGCAGTGACGTGTACCGCAGCGGGAGGGGGTTTCCCAGGAGCTCAGTGTCTCAAGGGGCTTTGAAAGGTGTGTGCAAAAACGAACGCTGAACAACCACGTAAMCATCTGCTGATCAACCATACTGAGCCCTAACCTGTTTGACAACCACCATACAGGGCTTCATCATGGAGCAGTGGTTAGAACTGCTGTCTCACAAGAAGGTTGCAGGATTGATTCCTGACTGAGGCCTTTCTGGGTTGAGTTTGTGTTTGCTCTGTGCACACATGGGTTTTCTGGTTTTCTGCACGTTAACTTTACTTGGAAACTCCAAATTGTCTCAAGGTGTGTGTCTGATGGGCTGGAGACATGCCCAAGGTGTCCCCACTTCTCTCACAGCAACTGATGGAGAGAGACACCAGCTCCTCTGCAGCCTGAAATGGAAAAAGGAGGTAAAGATGGATGGATATCCATGGAACAAAAAAGCTCATCAAAGCAGACGATAATATTTTTGCATGCATCGAAGWCAGCAAAACATCTTATGAACCRGTTTTTATGAATCTTGTAAGAAGTAGGAGGGTCCTGATCYGATATCAATATTGGATCGGTTTGTGGGGACGGCCTGCTCTCGACATGTTCCCACATTCCTTCCATTTCCTGATGATGGATCAGAACTCCTGGGGCTGTTTAGGGTCTTTGTAAACCTTTTGTATCCATCTGGAATTGAACTTTTTAATAAAAGTTACAAAATCACCCATCTTTTTTATGAGCTAAAACGGTGTGCAGAAGTAGATACAAAAACAAACAAACAAACAAAAAAAAACAACACAACACAACTGGTAACGGTGAAAGTTAAATCTTTGTTCCCACGTTAACCTAACCTGGAAGGCGGCAGCTTCATGCCACACACACAGAAGGCAGGAGATGAACTTTTGCTCCTTTTTCACTGTGACCGCCTACCTCTGCATTCCCCTCCATTTAACCCTTTTCCTTCATGACCCTTGACCTCTGCTTATCAACCCCTCCCCCAACACACACATTGTTAACTTGGTCTGGATTTTTTTTAGGAAGTTAAAAAAACACATTAGGAAATTATCATTTCTTGTTAATCTAGTCTTTCTGTGGAATATGTGTGAAGCATGCATGTTTTTATTGAGTATAGATAACATTAAAGGCAGCACTTGTACAAAAATAAATAAATGTGTACCACTGTAACACTTTACCATCACATGAGACTTGGTTGGTTTTGAAGTTTTGATTTGACATTTGTGTGCAGATATAAACGCAACCCTTGAAATGTGTGTGTATTTGTTGTGAACATGGTGTTTGGAGCATCAGAACTGTCAGCCAGCCAGCGTAAACTAAACAGCTTATTTTATAAAGAAAGAAAAATGATCATCATACATCTGTGATAACTCACCAACCTCAATTCTGCAGTTTTTTAAATTTTTAATTATGTGCTGCTGGTGCTTTCAGATTTTTAGCCATCTGACATTTCCACTCAGTATTATAAAGTAGTTGTACACTGAATTCTGCTCCAACTACAATTTGTTTTTGGATAAACAGGTTTTATTATGAGAGCTTATGATGGGAAGAATTTAATGTTTCCCCAGGATGAAATCACTAAAACCTGCATGTCCTGTGGCATACATGAAACTTGTTTGACCCTGAACGATTGCACTGAGAGAAAAATAAAGAAAWTTTTCACTTTTGTCTTTTTTTTCCCTATTAAAAAAAGCGTGTTTTATATTTTCTGATAAGGGAACTGAGAAAGGTCTGAAACGATTTGTTGCTCTGCTAACTGACCTTTGACCTGTGTGTGCTTCAGGAAAAGCTGAGAAGTGGGTCATGGGGAGCAGTTTTAGCCTCTCAGGGGAAAAAAAAACAAAAAACGGGGGAGCAAAAAATTAGATAAAATCAAAACTAGTAGCAAACGGTATAATTAGAAGCCCAATTAAGCAGATAAGTCTGAAATATATTTGCATTTTATCACTTTAATTCCAATAATTAGTTTTTTAGAGATGTAATCTTACATTTAAATAGTGTCCCAAACTATGAATTTAAATTAATTATAGGAAACTAATTATTTGCTTTGAAACAAAAGTAATAATCTGGATCAAATAGTTAAATAACAGAGACTTTTCCTGTGCACACATTAAAATTGTGCAGAATCTCCTCTTGTCTCAATGATGAAGCTTTCATACTTTAGATGCACCGAGGCGGCGCAGAGGGTTCCTGCGGCAGTGAGACGCAGTGAAAACGGGCTCTCACACGGTCCGAGACCCGCTGAAAACCCAACCCCACATCACAACAAACACGCAACAAATGACAGGGCCTGAACAGGCGCGGCCCGGTGAGCTCAAAGCGCCGCCGTGGAAAACAGCCAGTGGAAGCAGGACTGACGCCGCCGCCATTTTGGAACGTGTGGGCCAGTAGAACTGTTGCTTCCGCCATTTTGAAAAGTTGTCATTCATGAATATACGTTCACTTTTTTTTAACCCAACCTTTATAAGTTTATTTAACAAGCTCTGCACCGTAGTTTATAAGTGTTTACAGGCAGCTGCTACAGCTTTATGTGCCGGACGGAGGAACAGTTTGAGGGCAAGTTTCTTTATGTTGTTACCACACAATCATAAAGCATGATTATCAGTGTCTTCACGTGAATTTATAGGTTGTATGTATTCTAAAATACACCAGGTAATGTATTTAATTTACCCAATGTAGGTAAGTGAGGGAAAGGAAAGGAGCAGTGGTGTAAAAACCTGTGCGGGTAATAYTGAATTTTAAAATAAATACATTTATGTTTACACAGTCATAGCTAGCTTTGTGGTTGAACATATGCTAAAATTAACACATTAAGTGTACGCTATCATGTTATGTAAAGTAGAATAAAGTCATTAGAAAATAAAAATTACACATAAGACCTTGCTTTCTCTAGAACAGCAAGAAAGGAGTGCTGGGATCGATCCCATATCGATTCCACATGTTAAATACTTTAGGATCGATTTGGTTTCTCAAATGAAGAAAAAAAATTTTCGTACATATTTTATAAAAAATATTAAAAAGATTTAGTTTCGAAATATTCATCTTTTAGTCCACATAGAAAGGGGTAAATATGTTTTGCTGC